GCTATCGCAAACCAATATCTTGTTTCCCCCACACCACAGTCTCAACTTTTATCCAAAGACCACGTTGATTTTAAACACACTATAGCTTGTAAGCAGCTGATGAGAATAACGAAATAAAATCAATTCATATTATTCCGCTTAAATGTTCGTTCTTGCTCTGCTTAGGATAATCTGACGGGACTATGTGTATGACATTAATGCATACTACTAAAGAACCAGCACACCTGAAAATGCCTTAGTTCAAATAAAGAAAAAAATCCCGTTTGTATCAACATAGAATTGCGTCTACAAATTAAGATGTGTCGATTATAACTTCTATATTAGAAAGTCATTTCTTGAAATACCGAATCAAACCAAAGAACATCTTAAATACACGAAAACACCTGATTATCCTGTGGTACTTTTGTTATAACTGTGACGGCAGATTAGAGGGTAGCGAATTATTGATCGGACAAAAGACGCGCAAACACGTAGATCGACCTAGGGTTCTGATTGGTCTCGCTTCCCTGTATACCCAGCCAATTGAGTCCAGAACACAAGTCACAGCCTCGGATATATGAATCATTATATTTCAAACATACTTTGTTTATATACCAGTCAAGCAGACCACAACGTACCATAAAATAGAAAATAACATTGTACAATAACGGCCAGTATGAAAATGACACGTTAAATAAATATTGACCAATAAGATGACACTATTTCATGTCCAAGGATAGCATTAGGCTTGACAGGATAATTTTTGGGATATTTTCCTGAATATCCCAACAACTATAGAGACTCTAAATTAGATTGGAGATATCGGTACGTGCCACTTTCAATAACCATCAAATCGATATTAAAAATATAAAAATATTACAAAAAGACTTGTCCAACTACAAAGAAAGGCGAGTTGCTAAATCCTACTACTCTCAATAGAAAAAAGCCTTATTGGTAATCCGATTTAGACCATAACTGATTCTATCCCCCATCTCACACCATTATCATACAAATATAGTAATACCATTTCACATTACAAATGTCACATTTTTCACACATTAACATAAACGCAAATACCCAAGCATTTATGACATAGATCACCTTGACCGAAATGTTTTGTTAATTGATCATTATAATTATTTTCACTTTGTTCCTTAATGTTATTTGAACTTGAGTGAAATGAATTTGTTTATTTGTTGTGTGAAGAGGTGGCTTACACGGGGTCATGACACGTCGGAATGTTTACCTTTTCTACTAATTGAGATATTAAAAATATTTTGCTTTTATTAATTTTGGATTTAACATTCTAGATGCTTGATTGTTTGCATAAACTGTACTGAACCGTAGAATACTTACTTACATACTTACTTACTTACTTACTTACGCCTTTTGCTCCCAATGGAGCATGGGCCGCTGACCAGCATTCTCCAACACACTCTGTCCTGGGCCTTCTTTTCTAGTTCCATCTAATTCTTGTTCATTTTTCTCATGTCTATCTCCATTTCTCGGCGTAATGTTTTCTTTGGTCCTCCTCTTTTCCCTTGACCCTCAGGATTCCATGTGAGGGCTTGTCTTGTGATGCAGTTGGGTGCTTTCCTCAATGTGTGTCCTATCCACTTCCAGCGCTTCTTCCTGATTTCTTCCTCCGCTGGGATCTGGTTTGTCCTCTCCCACAATACGTTGTTGCTAATAGTGTCCGGCCAATGGATCTGAAGTATTTTGCGTAGACAATTGTTAATAAACACCTGTATTTTCTGGATGATGGCTTTCGTAGTTCTCCAGGTTTCTGCCTCGTACAGTAGAACTGTGTTGACATTTGTATTGAAAATCCTGACCTTGGTGTTGGTTGACAGTTGCTTTGAGTTCCAGATGTTCCTCGGTTGTAAATATGCTGCTCTTGCTTTACCGATCCGCGCCTTCACATTTGCATCAGATTCACCCTGTTCATCAATGATGCTGCCCAAATACGTAAAGGTTCTTACATCTTCCAAATCTTCTCCGTCAATTGTGATTGGATTGGTGCATTCTTTGTTGTATCGGAGAATCCTGCTTTTCCCTTTGTGTATATTGAGACCTACTGCTGCTGAGGCTGCTGCTACACTGTTAGTCTTCTCCTGCATCTGTTGTTGCATTTGGGATAGAAGGGCCAGATCGTCTGCGAAGTCTAGATCATCCAACTGCATCTTAGATGTCCATTGTATCCCGCGCTTTCCTTCGGACGTTGACGTTTTCATGATCCAGTCGATCACTAGGAGAAAGAGAAAGAGTGAGAGTAAGCAACCTTGTCTAACACCAGTCTTCACTTCGGACGACTTTGTCAACTGTCCTGCATGCACGATTTTGCAGTGTAATCCATCATATGAGTTTTGTATGATATTGACTATCTTCTGAGGCACGCTGTAGTGTCGAAGAAGTTTCCATAATGTTGTTCTGTCCACGCTATCAAATGCCTTTTCGTAGTCAATGAAGTTGATGTAGAGTGATGTATTTCATTCAATTGATTGTTCCACAATGATCCTTAGAGTTGCGATTTGGTCTGTACACGATCTATCCTTACGGAATCCTGCCTGTTGATCACGAAGTTGGACGTCTACTCAGTCCTTCATCCTGTTTAACAATACCCCGTTGAAGACTTTTCCCGGTATTGAGAGAAGAGCGATGCCCCTGTAGTTATCACACTTGCTGAGATCACCTTACTTCGGTATTTTGATCAGTAGTCCTTCTTTCCAGTCTTTTGGTACTTGTTCCTCATCCCAAATCTTATTGAAGAGAATGTGGAGTATCTTTGCAGTTGCCGCTACGTCTGCTTTTAGTGCCTCTGCTGGGATGTTTTCTGATCCTGCTGCTTTGCCACTCTTGATTTGTCTGATGGCCATGCTGATTTCTTCAATTGTTGGTGGGCCAACATTGATTGGGAGGTCCGTGGGTGTTGCTTCGATGTTGGGTGGGTTCAGTAGAGCTGGTCGATTCAAGAGTTCTTTGAAGTGTTCTATCCACCTGCTTCGTTGCTGTTCAATGTTGGTGATTACCTCACCTTCCTTCAAATTATTCAAACTGTAGAATCCACTTATATAAAATTTCTTTCTGTAGCTTTCATATAACTAGTGGTACGCCCTTGATTTTTTAGCTCACGGGTCTGTGATAATTATGCTAGAAAGGAGAGTTGCCTCAGTGCAGTTTATAGTCTTGAAGTGATAAGTAACATAGAGAGAAGTTTGCAAAGAAAGAGCCATTACGAAATTAGGTGCATCGACTCAGGTTCAATAGTGCTTGTTGGATGTATCGTTTACCAGTTCCGCGACATTTGACTGTAGCGCTAATACGAGACATGGAATCGGCATCAATGAGAACTAGGATCGTGACTGGTTACTTGAGAAGTGATATTGTTCAGTGGTCGTCGTGATATATGAAAAGTGACAGTAGTTGATGTTTAGGACTGCAAACGATCAGTGTCTTATTAGCATATGTGCATCGTGTATGGATGAATTTAAACTTCACCCCATTGCACAACTTAGTGGCTCTCAGGTTTGAGTAGCTAAGTGGATAAGAAAATTGCGTTTGAAGCCAGTGGTACTGTGTTCCAGTCCTGTAATGAACGTCAACTCTGGGATGCAGGTGCATCCAGTTGACGGGTCGAAAGTCCGACGAAACGCGCATCCTGGATTCCACTGGTAGCTACCATCCATCTTTGCTAAGAATTTGAAGATAAATTTTGTCAAGGTGATAAAACATTCACAGGATTAATTACCGATATTAACTGGTTTATTGTAAAATCCATAACGAAGCAATCAAATAAGAAACAATATATGAAATGATAATTATATCAAACAATCAGTTTGTCAAAAGGAGTAATTTTCCAAAAATTTTATTCTTCAATTCTAATGTTTAGTAGTAGAATAAAAAGATATTTTGCCTACATTAGGTTCTTTTTGGATAAGGTTTCTGTAATAAAGAACACAAAGTTAATCATGACTGGACTTGTTAATGCATTAACTTAACGACTTTGATTTTAAATGAAATATTCATATTCAGTCAATGATGTTTACAAAATTATTCCTTCATTCATTTGAAACTAGAAGTTTTAATAAGCAATGATGGATGGTGGCTAGCAGTGGAATCCAGGACGCGCGTTTCGTTCTATTTGGGACTCATCAGCTGGATGTGCCTGCATCTCAGAATTGACTTTCCCTGTGGGACTCGAGCCAAGTACCATTCACTCCAAACTCCATCGCGTTATCCACTTAGCTACTGAGTTCTGATAGCCACTTGCTTGTGCAATGAGGTGAATTTAAATCCACTTGGTATTGTTTGGCTTGTATTTTCCCATTGAGGTTTAAAACTGCAACTGATCAGTCCGTTATTGGCATATGTGCATACAGTGCGTATGCCTCGATATTGACTCATTTTAATGAATAAATGAGTGATTCCATCAACAAATTAAATTATCATTCTATAAAAGACATCTTATTATTGATTATAACAATAATTGATTACATATTGGAAACTATTGTCACATTTACTTAACGCCTAATGTCTATTAAAAGTTTAATCATTAAATTACTACATGTAATCCATTGTTTTGATTGAGTAGATACTACTTATTTTGTTAAACTAGTAATAACTTAATATTCTACAATCACATATATAACATCATATGTAACATTAATGAAGTATTTATTTCAACCCATATTATTACAAAATTACAATTCTGAAATGTTAGCCTCTTTATTATGCTAATTACTATAATTAACATTTTATTGTAATGAATACAAAGCAAACTTAGACTAATGAGATGTCACTTACAGAACACTTGAATTTGTAATATAGTAAGCTTAATAAAAAAAGAAGAAGAAAACAAGCTGACATTATATCATTGGTGTAATAATAATTAAATTTTATACGAATTATTTTTCATTTAATTAGCCTATAGTTTGGTTGTTGTTGCTATTTTTATTTGTCAACGTTTACTGATTATCAATAGTATAAAAGCGGATAATCAAAATGATTAGTTTCATTTAATAATGTTTCATTCATTATTATTCAATATCATTGTGTTACATTTGATCATACTTGTTTCAATACAAGTTGGTAAGTTTTATAATACATTTAAATGATATTTACATAATTATACTATTTATGCCTTACTTACTTACTTACGCCTGTTACTCCTAATGGAGCATAGGCCTCCGACCATCATTCTCCAACCCACTCTATCCTGGGCTTTTTTTTCTAGTTCCATTCAATTCTTGTTTATTTTACTCATGTCTATCTCCATTTCACGGGGTGATGTGTTCTTTGGTCTTCTTTTTTTCCTTTGGCCTTGAGGATTCCATGTGAGGGCTTGTCTTGTGATGTAGTTGGGTGCTTTCCTCAATGTGTGTCCTATCCACTTCCAGCTCCTCTTGCTGATTTCTTCCTCCGCTAGGATCTGGATACTATTTATAAGGTGTATAATTAATATGATACTTGTTATGAGAAGATGGAGTTGATCAGATCAACTCCATGTTCTTATTGTTCTATCAAAATTTATAAAAAGGACTAATTGCTTTAGATACTTGTTCTATCTGATCGTTGTTGATTGTTCTGTCAGTGCTAAATGATGCCATGTTTTAGTAATTATTTATTTTCTGATCAAATTTCACTTATAGTAAATAGTTTCTCTAAAGATTAGAATGCTGAATTTTAGTCTACTCATTTAACCGATAGAATAAAAACTATGTTTTCAGTCAATAGATTCGTGTTAATGGATAACGGGTGAAAATGTTTGAGTTTTATAAAGGCAAAGCTCATTCCTTGTTCATGGAGTTGTTTAATGTTTCTTTTGAATCAAATTGAGTAGATATACAAATAGTTAATGTGTTTTTTTAAGTTAAAAAATGATTCTTGTCAAGAGTAAATGGTTCATTTTGAAATGAAATTGAATGTATCATTATGATGATTAATTTCGGATATATATTGTCGAACGTATTGATGTATGGAAAATAACAGGTGGATATTAGTGAAGAGCATATGAACACAATTCCGCCTGTAGCTCTTCTAGAGTTACTGGCGGTCTCAACCCCAGATAAAAAGGGAGGGTTAGGCATGGGGTCAATAACAGCATCCCATAGAAGAATTCTTGCTAAAAAAAACGCTAACCAGATTAAGCAAATTAAACTATATGAACACGGTTAATAGTATTGAATACTTGGTAGTATTAGTACAATTTACATGTAACTATTTTTATAGTTTATTCGATGAACCTGAAAGTTCGCAATATACTACTTGATTAACATTATTTAAACCTGGGTTCTTCGTTGAAATCTCATAGAAAGTAAGATGAAATTAAAGAATGGCTTTTTAAAATGTAACCATATACTCGAATTCAAATATTCATATTTTCAAATAAACTTATTTATGTTCAATTTATAGATGGTAAAAGACAGAAGCTACATAGTTTCGGAAATCCAGAGGTCATTTTATCAAATATAAAAGGTAATTAGATAATAGACTGATAGATGTGTTTAAACTTTATGTGGTCCCTGAGAGTGAATAGAATAAGATATATCAACAAAATCGTCATCACTAATACATAAAATTACATGATTAATGCACTTTTGAATCTGAATAGTGATAAAATGATTTTGTTCGTTTATTGACAGGTTATTAATAAATGTATTCTGAACAAATATATAACTATACTACTTAATCAATGAATTATGATTCTATAACTATCCCAATCATACCGTTTAGTCTTCATGTTCGACAACACTCTTAAATCAGCTGACTTATCGCTCTAATGATTTGATTTGTATTCGACATGCAAACAGTCAAGTTGAATAAGTATATTGATGTGACGTTGTGGAGACAACTAAACATGGAACGATACGTTAATCAAAATTCCTGACATTCAAAAACATTATGGAATGTATAGAACAATGTAAATAGAGATAGAACAACTATTTTGTTATAGTAAATATACATATACAGATTAGATAAATAGATTAGAACAAAAGAATACCCAAAGCCGATCACTTAACTGATATCATTTTAACATATACTCCACAAATATGTTTTTTATGTCAAATGAAATGGGCTTAAAAGTAACTATCTAAACTGATACATTTTAATTAGAAGTAATTGATCAAGGTTTTAAAATGAACTAATATTTAATTTGCAGTTAACTTAGGCGAATTCGCATTGAGTCTACATCATGCAGATTATCAAGTAAAGCAAGAAATAGGTAATTTATTCATAAATTCATATATATAAATGATTTTTACTTGAGAAGCTGATTTCTATTAATAACACTTTAATTTTGTATCAAAAAAATGTACCCATCACAATAAGACACAAAGAATATCAATAGTGTTGTGATTTTGAACCCGGCTAATTATGACGTGATTTATTCCTCAATTGACTTGTATGAGCAGCCTAGTGTTCATATTTGTTTTATGTTTTTGTTCGCCTAACCCATCTAATTGAGTCCAGAACGTCAATAACAGCTTCTACTATACGAATCATTTATTTCAAGCATATATGGTTTATATACCAGTTAAACAAACCACAATACACCATGAAATAGGAAATAACATTTACACAAGATCAAGTCAAAATGTGGCTGTGAACATGGGAGACAGTAATTAATCAAATGAGTATAATTTAAGAACAGTAAATCTCAGCATAATAGTCTATGGGTCAAAATGAAGCTTATAATAAGAGGAATATAGATATACATAATCGAATTAATGAACAGTTATACAACAGGAATATATATATATATATATATATATATATATATATATATATAATAGTTCATCAATAGTTCTCAGACGTTACTCGTAATGTAATCTTCACTAGGATATAACAAGTAGAATAAACTACGAATTATTGTAGACAACAAAATGTATCAGCAGATCGGATCTACTAGACAGATAGATTTTAAACAATTAAAAAATCATTCGTTTATTTCTGATAAATAAATCTGAACTATTTCAAGCAGCTATTTAATGATTAGATCATGTCAATTTGATCAGTAGTTAATAGTAATTATTAATAGAATAGAATTGACTGCCAACTATTTATGTTTATCAAGAAAGTTTATTTCGGAAGTGGGTTTTTTTCGTCGATATTATATTAATTTTAACAGTTGAGATCATGAGTCATTTGAAGCTAGACCATCATGGAAAACCTAGAATAAGTGTGTCACTAAATTTCGTGGATTAGTTGAAGTTAGACATTAACACCGTTGAATGCTGGATTAGTGGTCTACAGATGAAACGTTCTCTTGCGAGATCGATAGATCCTGTATTTGAATCTCACGTGGCGGAATCATGAATACACACTGCTGAGGAGTCTCACAACAGGACGAGATGGCCATCCAGTACTTTCAGGTTTTTCATAATGGTCTAGCTACAATTGATTGATGATTTAAGTTTATTTGATAGTAGAAAAATAAACTTAAGTTATCCTGAATTCATTATGAAATAACACTGGTGTTATATATTTATCGGTTATAATATACTTTATATTATATTAAATTTTAGATAGACTTCTCCGATTATATTCAATTGATGAAAAAGTATTCACTAAATGTATGTGAAAATACAATAAACACTCTAATAATAATGATGAATTTTAGATATTAAATGCTTTGATTTATCAGCACTTTTAATTTATAAATCTAATTTTGGACAAGGTAAAAAGATGTTTTCAAAATATTGTTTTATCTTTAATTAAAAATAAGTGTACTACATTTTATCTATATTTCTATATAAATTCATTGTATACCTATCTTATAAGATCGTTTAACATTCCCAAATTCATTTTATGACCTAATACTATGAAGCATTATTGTCTGAGTTTTTGATGAAGATCATGAATCAATGAATGTTAGACTATTATTGAAAACCTGAAAATACTGGATGACTATGTGTTCCCAGTATGAAACGTTTTAGCAATGTGAATCCACAATCGTGTACATGATAAGATAGTCGTGCAACATCATGGATTAACTTGAAGTTAGACATGAACATGGTCTGGAGGTTAAGCGTCTTCATGAGAGACCGAAGATCTTGAGTTCGAATCCTACATGCAGGATTGTAGTTAATTATTACAGAGTCGTCCCATACTAGGACGAAACAGTCGTTTATTGCTTTCACATTTTCAATGTTAGTTTAACATTCATCGATTCATGATCACAATAAAAAAAACACAACAATCTCCACAACCTAATACTAATTTGTATGTTATATTCCATGAGGTTATAATCTGTAATAAACTATACTTAATTAATATTATATACAAGTTTATTAAATTGGCAAGTCTCAAATGACTAGATAAACATATATTTACATAATCTAAGTATCAATTACGTAGAATTTATGATTCTATAAGTGAATTTTTTGTTTGTGTGAAATTGTATTACTATTTTCAATTAAAATATTTTAGGTTTGGATAAATTAGTTGATTCAGTGATGAACAGACGCGGTATGTGTTTCAATTAGCTAATAAATATGTATTATTGAAAGATATACAATTTTTTTGAACAATATTTATAATCTTTATATGCAGTGATAGATAATGGCTAGCAATAGAATCTAGGATGCATGTTTCATCCTATTTGGGACTCGTCAATTGAATATACCTGCATTGATAAGTCGTGTAGGTTGAACGCTATATACGATTCCTAAGCTATTCCGGTAACCCGCAAGCTAGAACTACACAGCGACTTGAACTCCAGAGAGAAGACACAAGTATGAGAGAAAACACTTTATCCCAAGGTTCATTTTTGTACAGAAAATCAAGGGTATTTATAGATGATGGCGTCTTTTAAATCAACATCATATTTCAGCCAATCCGTTAACGTTATATTATGCTACCGACCAATGATAGCACGCCACGCTGGAATTCTCGAACGTTCCATCATACTCTGATTGGCTAGGACTCTTCGGCTCCTTTTGGGCTTCTGGAGGCTCCGTTGAAGTTCTCCGGAAGCCGACCCAACATGCATCTTAGAGTTCAAGTTTACTCTGTGACTTGAACTCAGTACCGTTGACTTTAAATATCATTGTGTTATCCATTTAGTTACTGAGTCCTGATAGCCACTTACTTGTGTAATAGGGGTGATACAAGCAAACAAAACCAAGTGAATTTAGTATTTATAATCTATTGAAAATTCATCATTAATTAAACAATTAAACAATGTTGAATAAAAATTTTTATTTTGATTTATATATTTAGTGTATTTAATTGAGAAAGAATGTTATTTATATCAAGTTTTATAATGGTTTAAGATTGAACAATCTATTTATTCATTGATTATACTCAATATAGAAGCAAACGTCGCAAAATCTTCAAGTCGCTATAAATGTTTGCAAAAGGAACTAAAAAAATCCAAAAGTAAGAGTAAATATTCAAAAATACATGGTTAAATGTTTTAATTCTATTTATCATTTGATTTTTTTTTTAAAACTTATCAGTATAGGGGTTATGGAGATAAGTAGGTTTTTGATTGAGATCATGAACCGATTAATATTAGACCACCAGTGAAAACCTGGAAACATTTGACGGCCGTTTTTTCCTATTGTGGAACTCCTCGTCAGTGCGCATCCACGATCCCGCCAAGCAGAATTCGTACCCAGAGCCTCCAGTCTCGCCCACGAACGTTTAACCTACTAGACCATTGAGCCGGCATCCAATAGTGTTAATCTCTGACCTCGAACCTGGGTTCAAATCTTGCAAGGCGAGATAGTGGATGCGCACGACTGAGGAGTACCACAATAGGACGAAACGACCTTCCAGCGCTCCCAGGTTTTTGATGGTGGTCTAACATCAACCAGTTCATGCTCTCAATTAAAAACAAACTTACTAATTTGCATAATCTAATGTTTTCATGTTATTCAAATAACAAGGATTTCAACTTCTTGTTAATCTACCTAACTAAAATATTATATAATTCTTAGACGAACATTACTAGTGTTAGTTGAATAAACAAATGTCTCGTATATTCTAAGTCTTAAAAGTCATCCTTATTTCGAAATTCGTAATAGTAATTGTATTCAGTTGGAATGGATTGTTAACAAATGGAAAAATGGGAATTTTCACTATAATTTACAATTATTGACTGCGGGATAGTTATGTTTTTTTGATTAGCCTTAGCTGCAAGACATAACATCATAATGTCTTAAAAGAGCTGAATCTACTGACTATTTGTCACTTTCCAAAGCATACATATAATTTTCTTGATTGAATGATAAAATCATTCTCATTTTGTCTTACCTGGTAACAAAATTCATTATTATAAGCAATTACGACATCTGTGGTTACATCTTATTCTCATTTAAAAATCTTGTGTTTATATTTACATGAATGGTAGTTGAGTTTGATTGTCCGTTATCCATAACAATCTTTTTTCTAAACAAATTTTGAATAGCTTATGAAAAGCAGCTTACTTTATAAATTTTTGCAATTATATAGAAAAGGCGGCTAAGCGCAGCGGAATGGAATGTAAAATCCCTGAAGGACTTCAATACAATGGTAAGCTGAAATGAACCACCCATTTAATTATTATACAAGTGGCAATTGTAGGTGAATATTGAAGCTGTTTTTCAAGAGTCTTTCTTCAAGTACTGACTAAACAATACGGCTCAAAGAACTAAACAACACCGAAATCATTTACATAGTAATTCTAAATAGATAATAATTCACTTAAACAGACGTTTCATTAAATGAAACCAACATTAAATATTTTATCGGGACTGAGATACTACTACCGGTCTAATGACGATAGAGCTTGACTGGAATGAAATATAACTTTCTGGATTAATCTGGATCACTGTATTTTGACTGACCTCATTATGTAACTACATTGACTTCAATGGCATGATATTTTTAGAGTCTGATGCGAAATATTTCTAAGATACTTATTCATCAGACACACATCTTAGCAAACAAATCATATTGAAGTAAGATTAACAAATTGGTGAAACATGAATGTTGGCTAATAACCAAATCACAGAATGAATTCGATACTCAGTTTATATATCTATTCATTGAGTACAATGAATAAATACGAAAGCTTATGTGACGATATACAAAAATATACGGAAAATGACATTATAAAAAGCACAATCAAGTTAGAGGATTGATAAGGACACATATTACATGGTCACCAAATAAGAGTTATTTGTGATAGGATTTATTTAATATCCAATTTACTCAAAATAATAACAAGTTCATAGATGGGCATAATCAAATAATATGCTTGTAATAGTTTGTTATTTCACAAATCATACTGGTAACTTGTTCATAACAATAATGAACTATTATCAGAATTGGTTTTGTAGAGATTTTTAGAAATTTCACTTGTTGGAATCATGAGTCAATTGAAGCTAGACCACCATGGAAAACCTGGAAGCACTGGACTGCCGTTTCGTCCTGGTATAGGACTCCTCAGCAGTGCGCATCCACGATCCCGCACCCTAGAAGATTCGAACACAGGACCTACTGGCTTCGCGCGCGAGCACTTAACCATGAGACCACTGAGCCGGCATCCAACGATGCGCACTGCTGAGGAGTCCCATACCAGGACGAAACGGCCGTCCAGCGCTTCCAGATTTTCCATGGTGGTCTAGCTTCAATTGACTCATGATTTCAACCAGTGAAATAATGAACTAATTAACTAACAACAATATCATCTAAGTATTTGTGTACAGTTTCGATAGCATACACATATGTACATGATTAGTTTTAATCTGTTTCATGAATTTAGACTTATGAATAAAGGATGGATTACAAATGTAAATATGAATACACTCTCAATATTTTCATATGTTTCAGACATGAAAACTTTAATTGAGTTGAGTAGAAATAAATACAAAATTATCAACAGTTACAACGAAAATTTGTGTAAGTAATAGTCAACAAAACTTTATTTGATAAAATAAATATTCTTTATTGAATAATATATTCACTAAACTTAAAACAGTATACGAATGTTTATGCAAATTTCATATTGTAATACTTAATGTACATCTTGGACTAAATGAAATAAAAGAATGTACTATTCACTAATATATTAAGTAACATTGGAGTGACCAGTGGAGTTCAGTCGGGTCAGTTGTGATATAGTAACTCACTGAAGACAATGGTGAATGTGTCGCTCAATTTCGTGGATTAGTTGAAGTTAGACATTAACACCGTTAGATGCCCATCAGCTCAATGGTCTAGTGATTAAGTGCTCATGCGCGAGACCAGTAGGTTCTGGGTTCGAATCCCGCGAGGCGGGATCGTGGATGCGTACTGCTGAGAGGTCCCACGATAGGACGAAACGGCCGTCCAGTGTTTCCAGGTTTTCCTTGGTGGTCTACTAACTTTAACATAAAAAGGTTTCATAAAGTTAACTGATGAGTTTACATTATTTGTTATACCTTACAATGATTAACTCAGTGTTTATTCGCAAACATTTCAGTTAAATACGGACTTATATTAGATTTTGTCAACAAAGCCAAACCGAGTAAGTTAATTTCATATCGATTTCATATTGACTAATTAAGCATTTATAAAAATGATGAAAAAATTCAATGATAGTTTCGAGGAATCTAGGTGTATAAAAAAAAGAATGTAAAATGGTAATTGTACAGCATTAGACTTCAATGTAAACCAAGGAGATTTAAATTATTGTATTTGGTTTCCTCTCGGTTGAGCGATTAAAACTGTAGATAATAGGTTCACATCTCATTATAAGCATCAACAGTGTGAAGTAAATATATTTAAATAACGCGACATAAGAAAACAAAACTCGCTTCCTGGATCACACTATTAGCCGCAATCTAAACGATAGAATATTCCTTGATAATTATCAGTCGTATAACAGGTATACAAGTGCATTCTTTTGACTTCATTCACAGAAAATAACAAGCATTTCTTAACTGTGATCACTTTGCATGATTTTACTAAAATCCATGATTTTGTTTATTATAGATAATGCATGAAAGTGATCAAAGTCACGTTTTCTTATGATGAGAATTAGTATAAATTCCATAATTTATATCATTCGAAAACGTTTCAATAAATGGTTTTAATGGAATTTCGTCAATTTCATTTTCCTTGCTGTTAAACTTGATTGACAGTTTTAGTGGCTTTAGGCCTGACTCCAGTTAGATAATGTGAATGATTGTTATTGAAACATACATTTCGCCAATCCTTGCATATAATTAACGACTTAACTGGCGTTAGTGAATAACGCAATTAAATAAGTCAAATACGAGAATGAATTTCGAATACGTTTATTTCACACAATCGTTGAGTCAGAAAAACGGTCGGAGGAACTAAGTGAGGAAATCGCAGAGAGGAGAGTGAAGCGAAACAACGCGCAGTGGAGAGAGCATGTAAGCCAACTCAATTTAATCAGACAAAAATCAGTTACAGCCGAGTGATGAGCGTATATAAAAACAGTCAAGGTTATTAAGCGACTGATTGACAAGGTCGAAATAGGACTCAAGAAAAATGAATAAATCGGTTTGTCCAGAAGCCAGAATAAGCTATATGGGCTTAATATAGCAATCGACAATACATAGTAATTGAAGGCAAGGTACACTGAAAACATTGCATACGAATCAATTTTCGAATTGTTGACGATTTGTCACCATTGAAATCTCACTCCTTAACTCGCTTCAATCCTTAGCCATATTTGTTAGCGTCTCAAGTCATAATCGATTGAAGTTGAATCCGTAAGTCGTGATTCACCAACGGCTATCAGCCATATACTGTTATCCTTAGTGTCACAGAGCCATATCACAAACTCACCATGTTGAGATTTCACTAAGTAACAGAGTCGCCAAGTAATACGCGATTTGTAATCAGATGTTTGAAAGTGGTGACATCATTCCAACTATCGCCACTCATCCATAACACGCATTGATACAACTTAGAATTACTAATATGTGAGCGAAACCTCAAAGATAATAATGATCCTACACAGAATTTCGCACAATACCCTCAGTTGTCATGTAGGCTGGCATAACTAACTGTACATTTCACTTTATTAGGGTTTGTGGGGGTAATTAACATAGGCTTATTTTGTAATTAGTCTGTTATTATTCACTTTCTTAAAAATTCCGATTAATAAAAAAAATCCACCACAAAATAAGTCCGTGTTAACTATCCTCATAGGTTCGTCTTATTTACCATGTTACCATCATCGTTCACACAACTATACAGACACACGAATTATTCGACTATTCGAGGAGTTCATTACAAGTACTGAGTGCAAACATGTTTTTCTGTCAGTGTTGCGGAAGAATCCCGAGTTTGTTTTGAGATGAAATATGGTCAATGCTTTTACTACTAGAATGAATACCGTCTAAGTCACCACAACCCAATCTTTCACCAGTTTTTTCTCAACCTGAATAGCATAACGTTGGTAAACAGTTTGAGAATAATCACAAATAGTCTTGTTTAATGATATTTGACCCACAGATGAATTACGATCACAGCAATGATAAGGACGATAATCACAACGTTAGAAGATATCGAACAATAAACGAAATAGAGGACTGAGGAAGTGAAAACCAGAACAACAACAACCAGCTCACAGAGATGAAAGGGATGGGTGAATACCAGGTTACATCTACAAAACGCAAAGTTACAAATCAGGCACAATTAAGCAAAGTGTTTCTTTGTTACCTCCTCTTTAGACTCACTGAGTTATACATTAGTCAATATGGCGATACAATAAACAGTATATTAGAAGATATTGGTGAAGATTATAACTGAATTATTCAATGTTATAAATCCTCAAAAATAGTGATGTTCATGTCTACTGCCTTGAATGCTGAAATAATGTGTCCATTGTTGTATTTGAAGTTTAAACATTAAAGAGTAAGTTAAGTAAGCAGTGGAGATCTTTGGTCTATAAAATGCGAGTAATCGATAAACGTGATGATACTGATCAAAATATATCGTGGTTATTGTGGCAAGAATAATAATAACAATCCATTAGAATGATAAGTGTCAAATAAGCGCTCATCGGAGGTGGACTGGGATAACGCTAAAATTTGATTATGTTACACGACGAATTAACACGTTCTCTGACGTAGAATGACACTTTGACACTATCAAGATATGTTCTGCGTCTCATACAATGATATAAAACGAAACACAACAGATAATTTTGCAAAATACAGATTTACTCGCGTCATAAACGTTTTAGGATAGCCGGAAAGTTCGACATTCGGATTTTGTGTCGACATCCAATATACAAGTGTGAATTTTTGTTCCCGTAACTCACAAAAAAGCATCCAAACGTATGTAAACACAGTCAAGTCCAAGTGAAAATATCCACCACAGCGCAAACACATACATACGAAAGCAAAAACAACAGAAAAATAAAAAGTAGACCGACAGAAGCATATTCCGAAAAGATTTAATCTGAAAACCCATTATTTGTAAGGTAGCTAAACAATTCCTGAAAATGTGTAGTAATATCATACAAGAAAAACATGACGAACTGAAATTAATCCTACTAAACAATGAAAATTATGTTGGCCATGTCCGCTGCAACTTAATCATCTGATCGTACTATCTTCAACTGACACAGTCAGTCACGTGAAATTCATTGTGCCTGTTGGTATGATCCAGAAAATTTCTCGCAAAAGACAAGAAAGGATCAGGAAAACACTAAGAAGCATTTTATCCAATCAGCGTTCACTAGAAGTTTAGCCGGAAACATCAAGAAAGTGAAAAGTCACATGTAGAGTTTCTGATTGTTTGATTACTATACTGCTACTATGTTTAGTAGCATTTCAGAATTTTCGGGAAACCTGAGGACTTTAAAGCAATTAGTCCCTTTTATAAATTTCGATAGAACAATGAGAAGACGGAGGTGATCTGAAAAATGTGATGTATTTGCGCTATACATTTCGAACAATCTGGTAGGAGGTAGAAAACCAAGTTCATCGATAGTGAAACATAATTGAGACGAGGCTCAAAATTAACATTAATACAGCATTTAGAACGTTCTATAGGAATCGTCAAGGACGAATTTTTAAGTTTGTTGAAGCCTTGGCTATTCGTAAATTTAAGCCCCCCCTTTATGTGTACAAAAGCAATTTGTCGTAACCTTGAATTTACATTGGTAATCCTTAAGTCATTCTATGACCTAGGTTAACGCGGCAATTTCTTATTCTCTCTCCTTTTAGTTATTTTAATTGAACCTTTTTGTCTGACCTTCAGTATTTTCATATAAAAATACCATGACAAGTATATGTGTGAACAGATTGCTCGAAATGTATGGCAAAACCCAATCAACAAAGGAAATCAGAAGAGACTCACCAGGGTTCAGAGATTGTGTATAATCATCGTGCCACATGGGTACCGAAGCCACTAATATCTAGGAGTTGAACCATAAACTTTCAGACTATCCTCCCATACGAAATAATGTTGGATCTTCATATTCCCAAGTTATGAATGACGTGGCTTCATTTAAAACATATTTCTCACATTGACTAGAGTAAACATTAGAAGTGACTTTGCGATAAGGATAAACAGCAGTTGACATGGAATCATCGGGATTGTAATCAAACTCTAGCTCATTTAGTACTTGTGCATCTCATTGAACAAATTTCCCACAAGCAACAAATGCATTATGAGCATTAGTAAAGAAACCATATCTGGTACAATAACATTAGAAATCTGATAAGTTGACTGATTAGAAACTGTTGTCTTGCAAGGATTCTGAGTTCCGTTTAACTCTGAACTGCTATATGAATCTACACTATCTATTGCAATCGTTGGTGAGAATAAATCATCATTATAAATACTCGACTTAATAGAATCAGAATTAAAAGACGTAATATTAGTTGCAGCAAGATGAACAGTGATATTACAGACTGACTCAATTTGTCCATGAATCATT